ATTTTTACACATAAAATTTCTGATTTTTGTGAGTGTATTTGGTATCACAATTTGACTCAAACTTGACATATTAGTGAATACCAAGTGTTTCCCAAAGACAACGTTTTCATTAAAAACAATATTCTTTAAGTTGGTGCACCCAACAAATGCATAATCTGCAATATACGTCACATTGTTCGGTAATATAATTTCAGTGAGTTCGTTGCAATTGGCATAATTTGAACGTTTAATTTCTGTTACACAACTTCTTACTTCGATGCTTTTTAAGTGACAAAATTTGACCAAATATCCATCACAAAAGGTTGCTGTTTTTGTTGGTATAAATTTGGGGTATATCTCTAGCTTTTTACACCCAAAAAGTGTGTAATCGTCTATTTTTATTTCACTCTCGGGCGAAGTAATTTCAGTTAAATCCTTTGCTCCATAAAACGCCTTATATGGCAATTTCTTAAAACCCTTTGGCAGTTTCACTGATTCCAAATTTGCAGCTTTATAAAACGCGCCAATTCCAAAAGTTGTCATTTGTTCTGGAATTTCAATGCGTTTCTCTCGAAACACACTTTCTGCAAAACAAAAGTCGCCGATTTCTTTGACAGCTTTAAACCACACATAACTAACATCACATTTGTAACACGCTCGTTCTGCATATATATTTGCTGGGTATGTCGGCTTGCCAGTCGGGTCCGGATTGGACCAAGCAACTTCTGAGGAACTAAACCCTTGTTCCACAAAGTACATTCCCTTCATATAATTGAATGAATACACAACACTATCTGCCCATGCTGGACCTTGTTCGACAGTCTCTTTATATGGAATTAAATAGTCGACGACTATGTTTTTTGAATTATATCTTCCGGAATGAAATGAGTCAAAAGAAGTGAGATAAATCACTCCTTTCCGACACTCAAAGTCTCCACCATATCCATTTTCTACATACAAATTCTTGAGTGTTGTGTTCAAGTAGATTTTGATATTACGACATTCATACAACTTCAATGTAATAATGTTGATATCATCAAACTCAAAAGTCGATTCTGAAAGATCTTTCATTTTCAGTTCTGTGAGGGAGGTCGGCAAATTCAAACAATCAAAACCAGTTGTATTGATTTCACAATACGACAAATTTTTTAATTTCATTTCTATTGTGATTTGTTGGGGAGTCTCTGTTATATCATTCTTTTCTCTGTAATCATACGACTCCGTGTCAAATTCAAGTACTTCTAAGTCTTTAACCAAACTCACAAAAATTCGATATTCATTCTGTTGGTCTGGATTCATCTCATGGAATTTGGGGATATCAGCTGCATCTTCTGGATGCTTTCTAACCCATTGAGTATAACACTGTTCGCTCATCATTGAATCGTAAAACTTTATTAAACCAAAAAAGTTGATGAATGAAATTTGTTGAAGTAATTTTATTTCACTATGTTTAGTGATTTCGACAGTCACTTTATCATCACAATACACTGAAATTTCATATGGAAAATCCGTTTCTAAATATTTCAATTTATTTGATATTTTTAAGTTGAATTTTTTATTTTCTTTATGGTTGATTACAAGTCTTTTGGTGTCAATTCCAGAAGTATCCAAATCATTAGTAGAACTCTTTTCAATTGTCAACTCACTCAACTTTTTGTCGGTCATGTCAACATATTTTGAAAAGTTTTTAGTTTCATTTTCTTTTATATAACATACATCCCCAAGATGATAAACAGAAATTGGGATATTCCACATGTTAAACGTTGAGAGGTCGTCCACGTTGAGTATCATAATTTTAAAATACAATTTCATCTTATCAAAAAGTTCTTTTTCACCAAACGCGAAATTTTCATTTGGCAAATACAAAATCAAATTTATTATAAACCCTCGATATACACCAAGAAAAGGTACAAAATATTTTAACTGCCCTTTTGCACCAGCAAAAATTCGAATTGTTTTTAGAGAGTGTAACTCAACAAAAACGGTGAGGTTTGCAGCTAATAAATTTAGAAAAGGTTCGGCTTCTCCGTTTATTTTATAACCATATTTGTCTGTTGTTGGAACTACAACGGTGATATCTAAAAGACTTTTAAATCGTTCAAAATTGTTTATTAAAAAGTTTAATGAACTTTCGTTGTACACAATATATGTCTGGAATTTTTCTACTTCTTTCAAGTGCTCTTTTTCAAAGGGGCGTTGAGTTGAAATAATATTTAACGGTGAGAAGTCGGCTTTGTAATATTCGTCTTGAATTGTGTGATTTTTGTCTGACATATTTTGTACTTTGATGTGATCAATTTTTAAATATACTTCATTAGAAATTCGCATTTTATAAGATGGCAAATATAACGTTTTAATGTTTGGAAATAACTTTAACATGTCTAGCGCATAATGCTCTATTAAGTAAGTTTCGTACACTTTATGATAATCACAAGATCTGGTGTTTTCAAAAACAATGGAATTAATTTGAAGACGCTCCATCACTCGCTTGCACTTTTTATTTACCGTGGAAAAAGTAAAAAGAGAATTGAACGTGTTGATATATAACACAACATTCATTAAATAGAATTCCTCTAATTTGGCTGCCATTTGTATTTTGTAGTTTTCAATCGTTTAAATATATTTTAATAACACTTTTTGAAATTCTTAAAAATTAAAAAATGGACATATCAATAATAAAGCTTTTTGAAGTTATAATAATAAATAAATAATGAAAAGTAATTTAACATTTTTTTAGATAAAAAAAATATTTTTATCCATTATTTATAATAAATAATTGATGTTTTACAAAAAACTATGTTTTCGAAGAATTGATTGAAATGATAATGTCTTTTGATTTCGTTTATAAAAATATAAAAAATTTAATTTAATAATTTATAAAATACATTAATTTTTAAAACATTGATTTTTTTTGAAAATATAAATATTAAAAACCAAACTCATTTATTGAATCTTGACTTTTAATCAATGAAGTGTATTAACTTTTGGTTTAATTATTAATTATTTAAATGTAATTTTTTGAATCTTTGACTTAAAATTT